AGACTGTGGCACCACTGAAGCAGCAGCCATCTTCCTGTGGACCCACCCCCTGCAGAGGATCAGAGGGACTGGTGCTATGAGCATTGGGTGGCAGCTCTCATTGCTGACCCAGAAATTGAATAATAAAAGGGTAGAAAATGAATGAATGAATAAAAATACTATATATAGCTCTAGCTTTCAATAAATCTATAAGACAACCCTAAAGCGCAGTATTTTTACCATTCCATTCTCATCTTTGAACAAATAAATGATGTTAGTTTTTCCTGTGGAGGAATTATTATGTAATAGTTTTAATGTGTGTAACATCTGGATTAAGACAACGCCTTCTATCTTTACCCTTTGTGTTATTTTTATGCTATGGTTATATATATGTATAGAGAGCAATGGAGCTTTGCCCTGGACTTATTACAGTCGTTCATTTCTTTGTCACCAGAAGCACACTTAACACTGACACATCAGAGATATAGTTATTATGTTGACAATACATAAGTTTGTAAACACACAAATTATTGTATTGATCCCCATCTCGGCCAATCAGCTTCCAGCCCAATCCATTAATAAGTTGTTTGTTACCAAGAGTTTCTGAAAGTAATTTGAGGAGAGCATTATGTAGTTTGGTATTTTCCTCCATCCAGGGGGTAAAGTGATCAATGGTGTTTGTCTGTGAGCAACACAACTCAGGATAAGTCAGGATGTTTGGACTGAAGGGATTTCTTTTTGTGATTCATCCGCTGGATGTAGGATTTATTATTATAAGTAATGGAACTCCATCTCTTGGCGGAGGTCTGCGCTTTACGAGTGCTTTTCCAGGCAGATTTTGTGGTTTGAAATGGCTTCAACCACAATAACATAAGAGCTGTGTATATTTTTTTTGTGTCTTTTTTTTGTGTTGCTGCAAAAAAACTGAATTTCTCCTACGGGGGGCAATAAAGCATCTATCTATCTATCTATCTAAACTGGCCTGTATGTCTGGGAACGGGCCTAACAGAGCAAGTAGTGGGAGAGAGGTGTAGGGTCGGAGAGTGTTTGGGCCTGTGTGTTGTCAGAGTGTGTGTGTGTTTTGTTTTGTCTGTCTCATACCATCCATTTTTTTCCATCCATTTTCTACTCTTTAATCCATTTCTGGGTCAGGGGGGTGGCAGTCAGAGATGCCACCCAAGTCTCATAGCACCAGCCCCTCACTGACCCTCTGCAGGTGGTGAGTCCACCATTTTGTTCTAATTTCATGTAAGAATTTGCCAATTCCGAACAACAAATTTTGACTTGTCCCATTGACAAGCAAAGACCAACAAAACTTAATGTAAAACTCATTTGAACACTGTGGTTCAGTGGAGTAAAACTAACAACCTCCAGTTGAACGCATCCAAAACATGTGAACTGGTCTACGACTTCAGTCGCAATAGTTCTCATTTGCCTGCCGTAGTCGACAACTCCCAGGTGCAGATCGTAGAGGAGTGCAAGTTTCTGGGTTTAACTCTGTCTAACCTGAAATGGGTTAAAAACACTGACCGAGTCGTTAAGAAAGCTCGTCAGCGTCTCTACTTTCTGCGTAAACTTAGAGAATTTACCACTAACTCTAAGATTGTGCTTAACTTTTATCGCTGCACCATTGAGAGTTTTCTTGTTGGTTCTGTGTCTGTGTGGTTTGGAAACATCACAGATAAAGAAAAGAGAGCTTTAAACAAGGTGCTCCGCTCTGCAAAGAGGACCGTGGGCTGTGAGCTTCCTGTTCTGGAGGTTCTTTATAAATCCAGACTTTTAAACAAAGCTCTTAGGATTGTTAATGACTCTTCTGGCCACCCTGGAAAAGCCATGTTCCAGCTTCTTCCCTCTGGCAGAAGATATCGCTCTCTGAGATGCAGGACATCTCGTTACGCTAACAGTTTTTATCCACAGGCTGTTATCAGTGTGAACAGAGCACTTTAATGATTTGCACTTGTTTTGAAACTGTTTTAGTTGATCGATTTCACAGTGACGTTTTTTTACTGTTTTATTTGTTTTATTTTTGTCTTTTAATGTTGTTTTATGTCTGTATTTGCACACTGGAGACTTTTGCTAATGTATTCCAATGTGGGGTTTTTTTTACTGCAAATGGCAAATAAACTGAATCTGAATCATTACTAAAAAAAAAACGTCACCTAGAATTTAAGAAGATTCTGTCCTAATTTTTATACTAGCAAATTCACAATACATTTTTCACAAACATAGCAGATTTAGTAATACAAATTTTACTTTATTATACTCTATTAAAAAGTCCTGTACATTTTTCAGGCTCAGAAAACATCCAAAAGATTCGGGCCACAGCGAATAAGAAATATAAGTTGATCAGCCAGATGCTATAGCACACCTGGGGACGGGGAGTTATGAGCCGAGGCCCCTGTAGGATCTCGCCCGGGTTATGACCACTGTTTTGTAAATAATTTAGGAGCCACATTCAGACACTCCTCAGTCCTCACACGTGACATCCGGGAGTCGTGACTATAATTTCTCACACCTCGTAGGAGCAACAGGAACCATCTCTGAGCGGCAGAGAGTCTGTGTTCCGTGCCCCTCCCCCACTCCCTCTGCTCAGGAGCCGATTACGACATCCAGATACCTCCAGCGACGCATTACTCATGGGCTCGAGTGCGCACTTCTGCCTGTGAGGGCCGAGTGTTTGCACAAGAAGGGATATTTCAAGATTTCCTCTAACTTCCACATGAAAACTCTCATATGGTCCAGCATCTGGTCGGATAAAAGAAGGATGCAAATGAGCTGACAATAATTAACATTTTTGGTTCTTCTCAAAACAGACCAAAATGAAATATTGTTGGCGGAAAGTTATTTTTCTCTTACAACTTCAAGGGCTGGCTTTGAGCAAATTATTTTCAGATTAAACTGTATTCCTCTGTTTTGCTCAGTGCATTAGCTTACATTTTTTTGTGCACGCTCATCCGTTTGTCCTGAAGTTTTGTGCAGCGTTGGTAATTCAGAGAAATATTGATAATCACAGAAATGGCAGAGTTTAAAGACAAGGAATGAAAAGCTTTTATCATGTGACGTCTGATTCCATCGGATAATGTTTAGACCAGAGCTACTTTTCTGCAGCTAGAGTAGAGTTACATGGGTCTTTAACAGGACAACGGAGACATGAACCTGGTCCGAACGAGAATAAGATATGACAGAGATACACAACATTCTCATTACAGACTTTGACCTTCAGATGTTGTCTTTGTCTCGAGTTTAATTCTTTATTTAGGTTAGCACAACTCATTTTTAAGCGGGTTAGTAAATATGTTAAAATTGTACATGCCTTGGATTGCTTTGTGAATATCGAGGTATCACTGATCTATTATGCATTTAGTAGTGCACAAAGTTAGATGTGAGCCAGTTTCTAATATCCCCCCAGGCTTTTTTAAAAATCATAAACAGTATCATTTGTTCTTGTGCATCTGATTTCTCAACAGTTACCGGGTTTGAAGAGGCTGGGAATCCCAATGTTGCGATGTGCGCTTGAATCATTTCAATCTGCACAACTGCCTGGAAACTTCCAAGTCCAAAAGTTGGCTCTTGGCCCAAAGCTCCGTTCCACATGTGTGTCAATGCTGAGGGGGGTGTTTTGGATCAGTCTAGTTTAGTCACTGTGAATTTTTGAAGTCACTCGTTTAAATGAATGGGGCTCGTGCAGCTGACGCATGAAAGCCACATTTTTGGCCCATAGTTACAACGGCGGAGATAGGCATGACTACGTCCGTTAATATATACAGTCTATGTGTGTGAAATATAATCGAGATAGAATTGAAGCGATTGGTGCAAACGTGAGATGGATGTGAATGACTTGTAACACCAATTGTAAACCGCGCCACTCTGACAGCCATGTACTCACAGAGCGGGTATTTTCAAAAACAAATATCCACTTGCTCTATTTGAAAAATAATACCTCTACACAGTTATTTGAGATCCCAGTCTGCTCAAAACCCATGTTGGTCGTGCTGAGTCGGCTCTAACCTCTCAGAGGCCGTAGATAGTGTTTGTCGGAGAGTTCAAAACCCTGAACACCCAAAGGCTCCGTACAACAGCTCCAGACTGGAGGAAGAGAGGCTCGGCATTCGACTCACATCAATCACACACAGCAGCACACCGACTGCACAAACATCTGACTATAAGTGCAATTATAGCTCCAGAGTTTGATTTGATGATATTGTCTATATCTTAACTAATAGATCCTGTTTGATTTGCGCAACCTACTTCCTCCTTTTATTCTGCTGTAAAGTGCATAACGACGACATTCAAACTTCCCCACAATGGGAAGAATAAAGACTTATCTTATCCCTTATCTTATCTGGCAACATGAGATCTACAACACAAGGCTCTGTTAGAAGAAGGTTTTTCAGATCTGAATGTAAAAACGTGGAAACATATGTGCATTTTATCAGACACCATGGAACGTGAGGACAGGGCCTCAGCCTGGAGTGTTCATGCATTTTTCAACCTTCTCTTCGAAAAGGTTTACTTTTCGATGCACTGGAAACGGCAGCAAGTCCCAAGTGTCTCAGAAACAGTTGTTTTTTTTATGCAATTGATGTGTTTTTGCAGCAACTGGACACCTGCATTTTTCCTACGGTGATCAATGAAATGTATCTACATGTATCTATCTTATCTATCTTATCTATCTTATCTATCTAAATGGAACTAAAGGCCAATCCTCCTACATGTTCTCCACACATGTTTCAGGCAGCAGCCCTGAAAGTGAGGCGGGGGTCATGTCCGAGCACGTGCAGCATGTACTGTATGGTAAACAGGACCCAGCATCCCTCTGCTCTGCTGCTGGACTATATACGCTCCACTCACTGGGCCTCCGCCAAAGGATTGCTCAGCGTTTAATGAGAGAGAAGGAAGCAACGGAGAGGTACGGAGGGAGGGGAGTCATTAAGAGGAGGGCCGAGTGCTGGGTTAGGGGCTGAGCGGTGTAGAAAAGAGAGTGGAAGTGGGAGATCCCTCACATACAACACATCAGCACCATGTCCCACTGGAGACTGCCCCTGCTCTCTCTGTGCCTGTGCCTGAGCCTCGGTCTGGCCCCGAGTCTGGCCATGGCCTACGAAGACGACATCGAGGTCAACTATGCGGATCCCTTCTACAATGAAATCACAGAAGGAGAGACCACAGAACGTGAGTATTCTCATTGGAAAAAGCTGTGCATGCAAAATAGAATACATTAAAGTTGGGGGACCTTACTTTCAAAAAACTACCTTACTTTCAAAAAACTACAAAAAGTTAGGTAGGCAAACCCGATCTTGAAATACCTGTGCAATGCATTTTTGTTTTTGATTCATTACTAAAAAAAATATATGCAACATTTAAATGTCATCAAATAATTTAAGAAGACTAAGGCTTTCTTTTTTAAACAATGGAGATGTAAAGATAATATGTACCGCAGTGCAGTACGACCAGAGATCACCATTAAAATCCTCATAACAGACTGAAAGCACTGTTTCCTTTAAGGGTTCAACACAAAACATGCATGAAATGAATATTAAAGCTCATAGACAGGCAGCAAAAACAAACCCAGAGGGCCTCTCTCGTGCCCCTTCAGAATTTGTTTGGTATAAAGAGAGTTTCAGAGGCTCAGATATTAATAAGAACAGTGTGTGAGAGATGTACACTGGATACCTCCCACCGTGTCCTCATTGTTTTAGTCAAACAGCGATTACCCTCCTCCTAAACACAAACACTCACACCAGCTTCCTGTTCCCTTTTCCTCTTCTGCACATCACAGTTCCTTCACACATGATACAAGCCTCACAGTTCCTTCACACATAATATAAACATTTCTAACTCTCACGCCCCTCTGTGATGAACCTGTCCACAGCCACACCTGCCCCTGCCCCCTGCAGGGCACCGGACATGACCAAATGGGACAAGATGTTTGCCATGCTGGAGAACAGTCAGATGAGGGAGAACATGCTGCTGCAGTACGCTGATGACATCATCAAAGTGGAAATGGACTCTCTACGGCAGGAAGTGCTCAGGTCAGTTCACACCAAATGTGTGTTTGAAGATTTAAAGGAGGCATATGATGCATCATTTCTGGCCAATAAATATATGATCATGAGACAATTTACTTTGTGAATGTGGAATAATATCTTCAGCAGATATGATGAAATTGGGTAAAAAAGGCTATCGGCTAATGCTAACCTGCCCTAACCCTATGCTACCACCAGATGGAGGTGTAAAATGTGTTTTGTTTCTTTCCAAATTAGAAAATTACCAGCTATAACCACTGCCATGAGATTGCAAAGAACAAATATTCACTTGAGAAATTACCAGAACTAATTTGTGGGCAATACTTTCGCTTTAAAAGACAGAAAACTGCTAAGTGTGATGTCATAGTGGTACAATGACATCAATGAACTTTTAGACAGAAGGGGCGGAGTTATGTGTTTGTGTCCGATGTCCCTGTCCCTGTGGCAGAGGGAACAATGTTGTAACATGGTTAAAAGTCCAAAAAAGAAGAGTTTACATAATATATCTCTCTTAAACTAATTGGAGCTGTTTTTTGGTGTATTGCAGGTTTGTAGCCCAGCACGGAGGGTCGTGTGGTGCAGCAGTGGAGGTCGCTGAAAGGAAACTGTCACTTCAGCTGGACAGTCGTTTTAAAGAAGTTCTGAATGGCGTCAGACCCTGTGAAGACACTAATGTTAAATGTGGAGGTCTGGAGCTAGAGTCAGTGCTGCAGCAGCTCCTCTCCACGGCCCAGGCCCAAGCGTCTCGACTGGTGAAACTGGAGAGTAGCTGCTTCAGTGAGCAGCTCTCAAAGACAGGATTCCAACACAAGGAGCAGGAGGTCGCGTCCCAAGAGAGCCATCTGGAAGCAGCTCTTTTGGCCTTACAGCAGTCAAGGGCAGAGCTGGAAGAGGTGCTGTCGTCAGTGAAGCAGAGATACTTACCTGCAGGCAAGATATGCATATTCTCACCTTTACTTCCTTTCAGCAATCTGTCTCTTTACCTGTCTCCCCCGCACCGTGACCTCCAAAAGCCCCGATTGAATTCATCCATCTACGTCTCATTGACATATTTAGGTCACAGATTGATTACAAAAGGTAACCCCCGTGTTGAGCATTGTCAGTCAGTATGCAAATTGTTCAAGCATCAACATCCCCATCGGAGACTACTGTGTGAGAGTGACAAGGCTCCAAGTGAGAAGGACTTACTTCTGCTCATAAGTACAGGTTAGGGGTGAACATGATTCAGGAATGTAGAGTAAAAAATGTCTGTGGTTAATGGATAGAAACGGTTCTTTCTTCTTCTCTATTTCGTTTAAACTTATTTAAAAATATGTCAACGATGAAATAAAATAAGATTGTGTTTCTGTAGGTTGTGACCTGGCACTGCTCTTCCCCATGCGCTCACGGCGGATCTACACTTCTGTCGTACCAGAGACTTCACTCTCACTCTCCTCCTTCACTGCCTGTCTCTGGGTAAAGCCAAATGGTGTCTCCAACAAAACTGTGCTCTTATCATATGGAAACCGCCAAAATCCATATGAAATTCAGCTGCTGCTCAGTGATGACGCTGCACAGTTCACTGTGGGAGGGGAGGCTCATCTGGTGGAGGCCAGCGGAGTCCTGGACCCGAGAGGAACGCCTCAGTGGATGCACCTGTGTGGGGCATGGTCGTCTGACCAGGGCATGGCCAGCCTCTGGCTCAATGGTGAAAAAGTGGCCATTTCACCTGGAGTGGCTGAGGGACATGTCATACCCCCAGGAGGCTCCCTGCTGCTGGGGCAGGAGAGAAATGGCTGCTGTGGACAAGAGATACCTGGGTTTGAACAAGGCTTTGATCATAAACTGGCCTTTGCAGGGAAGATGACTGGAGTAAACATATGGGACAGAGTGCTGTCGGAGGAGGAGGTCCGTCTCCTGGGTCAGCAGGGCGGGCAGAGCTGTGGTCACAGGGGCAGTGTGGTGGCATGGGGCCTCACTGAGATGGTGCCTCATGCTGGAGCCCAGTTCATCCACTAACACGCTCAGTGACAGCTACTGACAAAGTGACTTCTGCAACATCACAATAAGCTGCCATGTGAAGAGTGACCACAGTCTCAGTATAAACGACAGTAAGAAATGTGTGGGCACCACTTCCATTATGAACGATATGCTGCAATGTTCCTGAAACCGACACGGAAACTAAAACTGTGAGAGACTGCTTTAAGAAAAACCACAAATGAGACTGAGCCCCGAGAAAACAGGCAACAATACTGTTCAGACGAGAAGGGTTTGAACTGGACCAAAATTTACATTCATTTCACACACTACATACAGCAACAGGAAACACAAGCCATAGTTTCTCTAAATATTGTTAAACCCGATGAGAACTGGCAAAGGTCTCAGTACCTGATATTATTCCTGTTTTTAGGGGTAGTCATAATTGTATTGTTTTGAAGATATTCTTTATTTTGTATGAAACGCATAGATGGTGTCAGTGAAGTACTTTTGAATTGTGAAACTATGGTAATATTGTAAATAACATTGTGATAGACCACTGCTGTATGAATACGCCTAGAGTCCAACTAGAGCACACCGTGTATTCTTTTGGATGGATATGTGCAGTATTTGCTTGTTTGTAGTATTTGTTTTAGGTCAAGTTGCTTGTGGTTCTGGTGCGACTGTTTTCAGAGAGAATGTTGTAACTTGGTGAATAATGAGGTCTTTGTTTACAACACTTAACTTTTTAGAGTTAATATTGTAAATGTATTTTGTTTTGTTCAATGTGATAAATGAATGTATGTTGTAGATAAATAAAAACATTATTTTGAATTTTTGATTCACACTATAATCAAAAAGCGACTTAAGGGTATACTTTGACCCCTGTAGGAAAATGTGTCCTTTGCCATTAGAGCAACTGTCAGGAGCAGTGACCTGGACCATAGACTGTAGATAGATGGACAATGCTGTTGGATCAATGAAGCTCAATAAGGAAGTGCTCAAGGACAAAGCTTTGCTCCAACTCGCTCTGGTTTCTATTGACCTACAATGAAAATTAAAATGTTCGAGCTCACTCTGAACTTAGTGAGACAGCTCCTCGGAAAGTGCTTCCTCAGCTGTTATTAGTCTTATGTTCATTTTTGCGTGTGTGTGTGTGTGTGTGTGTGTGTGGGTTCCACCACAGATGTACGATAGGTCTGCCTCCATGTGCTTCCAAAGGCCCACAACTGTTGTAAAGCCCTTTGTTTCTCTGATCTGTGAAAGGCGCTATATAAATAAAGATTCGTTACGTAAATAAATCATATTTAGTGCAACTGATAGTTTAAAATGAACTCACAGTAGTGTTTGATCAGTAGTGGCTCAGAAGTATGTCGGAAGAACTACATGTAGTGCAATGATGTCAAGGTAATGTCACGATGATGTCATGGTGATGTCATGGTGATGTCATGGCGTACCTGACAACACACTGCGGCAGAGGGCCTCTGCGTGCTCCGATAGCAGTTCTGCTTTGGCGATGGCGGCGAGCGACAGGTAACTGGACATGTTCCTCCTCAGCTCCTTGTTTCCTCTGTGCAGGAAGCGCACGGCCACAGGGACGGCCAGCGCCATGACCGAGGGGCAGCTGTAGTTCTGCAACACAAATATCACATGACAGAACCACACACACACTCACACCCCGCGCACAAGAGCCATGGATCTATTAGAAGACAAGGCTCAAGAAAGGCTGAATAAAGGCTGTCCTTTAGCGCCCCCATGAGGACAACAGCATAAATAACTCCTTTGTGTTGGTGTCTCCAGAAATGTATTTGTTTATGTAGTTATCACAGGAGGATAATGAATAAAACTAATTAAAGCTCAGGTACAGAATGAATACTCTATAAAATATATTAAAAGTTAGGTACCCAAGCTTTAATCCTATGTGTTAATTTACATGATGATCATAGCATTTCTGTTGCTGCTTTCTCTGGTTCAGTGGCCTCATCCCGCCACTAGATGGCAGTACAGGAGTTAGACACGGTGCACATTTTTCCTCCATTGTGTTTGAGTGATTAAAGTGTAACTCCTCTGCTCTGTAAATGTCACGTGGTGGTTTTACAAAGAAAGAGCTGCATCGAGTTTATTATAATATTATTCATATGTTTTCAAAGCTCACTTACAGTTTAGTACAAGGCCAGGGTTCAAACCAGTGGGGGCGGGTCCCAGCTCAAAAGTGGCCAAAATGACGTGCGCTGACATGCTTGCAATACCACCCCGGGCCGATGGGGGTGGACCCAGAAGTAGAATTAGCCAATGCTAACATATAGCATTGTTAGCATTGTCTTTACAGGATGGACCAAAAGTTGGCTCTTGGCCCAAAGCTCCGTTCCACATGTGTGTCAATGCTGAGGGGGTGGATTTTTTAAGTCTCTCGTTCAAATGAATGGAGCTGCGCCGGCTGACTCATGCGCAGATGCTTTTTTCACAATTTTCTTGTGGGCGGGACCACTCGCGGCCATTTTGGATTGCTCCATGAAAGCACTTTTTTGGCCCATTAGTTAGAACGGCGGAGATAGGCGTGACTCTGTCCATTAATATATACAGTCTATGGTTCAAACATATACATTCTTTAACAAATTAAATACATTTGAACTCATTGAGATCACATTCAAGAGGGTCAAGGGGGTAAACAAATACCATTGGGTTTTTTTTATCGGTCCGCTTCAAAATATTGTTTATACATTTTTGGGACTATAGGCATCTGGCCAAATTTTCCCACATTATATTAAAAAATGCGTCTGGAAAAAAATCACTGACTGCATCTTTAAGTTACTGTGTGGTGCTATATCATGTTTGTGTTGTCAAAAAGGATAAACCAGCTGAATGTCACCTAACAAACTGGCAACCCAGATGAGAGCCTCATGCTTCTGATTGGATAACCTGCTTGAAAAACATAAACATCAATATTTTTCATAAAGATTACCTACAGTTTAAACTTTTGTTCAGAAAAGACCCAATAGGATGTGTACATGTGACCTGTAATCTGAGACACATATAAAAGATGTATATGTAATTTCAAATGCAGATACTGTCTCTTTAAGACTGTATCTATCTACAGAACACGCAGTACATACATACATATATACATCCATACATATAGTACATACATATACATATATACATCCATACATATAGTACATACAACCATGGTGGGCTCAGTGGGTTCAAGCCCAAGAGTGTTCCGTTGTTAGAGCACACAGGCTTTTCCACGAGGATCAGTCTCATTAGAGGAATTAAACACATTCTTCGCCCGAGAAGACGAGAAAATGTGCTTCTGAACCTTTGAACAAAAACTCTCTGAAAGGAAAGTTCTCAAACACTTTCACTTTTGATTTAAGTTTGATTTAGCAAATATGATGCATGATTTCCGTTTGACCTTAAACTCTATCTTATCATATTCATTAATGCCTTTTATTTTTTAGAATGTGAAAAAACATGTCACATTGAAACATGAAGAAAGTGATAAAGACAATTTCTGGACTAGTGAAACCCACATTTACAGAAGAGATTAAGAATGTGTGTCTGATTTTATTATAGGAGCATTCAAAATTGGAGAAGAAATGTATTATTGTGTAGAGCTGCAACTAACGATTATTTTGTAATCGATTAATCTATCGATTATTTTTACGATTAATCGAGTAATCGCTTGGCTGTGAATTGTGTAGAAAAAAAATATTTTTTCATCACAAAAAGCTAAAGTGGCAACACTCGAGGACGTATTGATGGCGTAAACTTAAAGTAAATGTTTGTAACAGGCTCTTTGTGCTAATTCTGCTCTGATTGGATGAGACAGACAGATATTCATGAAATTATAAAATCAAAGTCGGTTTTAATCAAAAATACTACATTTTCATGTCATTTTTGCTCTGTTTGAGTCCCTGTGAACCAGAAAACGATTAATCGATTACTGAAATAGTTGTCGACTATTTCAATAATCGATTAGTTGTCGATTAAGAATGAGTTGTTTCAGCCCTATTATTGTGTGTTTCTTATTTGAACCAATGGCAAATAAAATCAAAGGAGAGGTGTGATGCTACCTGCAAGATACAGCTGGTGATGTCGGAGGCGATCTTGGCGTGGGGCGTGTCCTCCGTACTCTCTCCTGCAGGGGTGAGCTTGTGCTGCAGACAGGCCTCCCACAGAGCCACCAGAGCGGGGCTGTGTCTCTCGATGGAGCCCGTCTCTCTGATGGCGGTGGTGATGCGGGTGATGCAGATCTCCACCACGGCCTGGTCATTGTCACTGCTCAGATAGTCCTGTCACAAGCGTCATTCATAATATTAGACATGGCGGAAAGATTGGAAAATGACTGTATTTTTTTACCCCCAAACTGCTCGGACAAGCTTTGTTCAAGTCAAGTGTTAAAGTGGTTCTCACCCCCGCTCCTGGGAGCTTACGTCACTCACATTTCCTGTTCAAATCTTCCTCTAAATGGGCGTAGCCTGGAGGACTAAAGGGGGCGTGAACGAGACTGGGCCGTTTACATTGCTCTGGGCGGGGGGCTGCTGACGTCAGGTCCAACTTGCAGACGTCAGGTCCAACTTCTGTGCCAGTGTTGGCGCCAGATTCAAAATTCAATTGTAGTAATACAGGTCGCCAGCAGATGGCGCCTCACAGACGGTTTTAGGCAGAAAGTTTAACTTTCAACTAATTTGCACCAAAGTGACAAGATTATGACCAGGATATGTAGACAACACTATTGGACACTCATTTATACCGTTTATCAGCAAAAAAAAGTGGATTTGAGGGTGAGTTGTCCTTTAAGTGATCGTCATCATCAAAATCTAAAACAGGGGTTTCCAACCTGTGGCTCATTAGCTACCAGTACCTCTCCACCCCGTTTCAGGTAGCTCCTCAAGGGATTCAAGAATTTAACACTTGATCCTGAAGGATTCACTTTTGAGCCATCACATGTCTATTTCAACTATAAATCTTGTCATTAATGCAGGAATACTGAACAATACAGTATGATCATATTTGATGCATGTGTGTTCTCAATGATTGGCTGGAGTTATTAAATAGACTCCAATTGTTTTATAAAAGTAGCTTTCCAATCAAAAAAGTTTGGAGACCACTGATCTATACTAAATCCATGCAATTGACTTGGCTGTTTATTATTCTTTGCACTTCACACTGGAATCATTTAAAATATAACTTTAATTTAATTATCTAACAAATCAGAACACAACTTTTTGTCTTCGTCTCATTAGAAATGTTTTGGATGTTACTTGTAAGAGCGAGATGATTGGCTGAGCAAGAGTGCTCTTCTCTTTTTTAATTTTCTGTTTGACAAGCTGCTCTAAAGATGTGAGCGGGACAGACTTAAACTCATGTCGAAGCAACTGTGAGGATCTATTCTGATGGATTTTCACAGGTTTTGTGCTTTGATGTGTCTGGGCGGCACGGTGGCTGAGTGAATAGCACTCTCGCCTCTCAGCAATAAGGTTCTGGGTTCGAATCCTGGTCGAAACAGGGCCTTTCTGAGTTCTCCCCGTGTCTGCGTAGGTTTCCTCCAGGTACTCCGGTTTCCCCTATCACTAAAAACATGTGCAATAGTTCAGAGTGAGTGAGTGCAAATGTGGGACAACAGATGCAAATTAGTCCATGGCTACAATCCGGAGTTCATTAACATGTACTATCCTAAACAATAAATAAAAAAATGAAATGTCGGTACTCCAGCTTTAAAGGCCTCTCGGCGCCAGTCTGTGTTTAATTCAATGTTACCTGTGGTTCCATCAGTAATGTGCCAGTTTGGCACATTACTGATGGTAATACCTTTGGTGGGGTATGATTCTTTTGCTTTTGTACTTAATATTTTAATGGATATTTTGAATGCTAGATTCTGTCTTGAAACAGTTTATTCCCATTTCATATCTGGTTTGTTCATAATGTATACACTTATTTAGGACCTCGTTTAAAGCTAGGGTTCCTAACTGTTATTTGTCCCAACAGAAAGAGTCTTTTAAAAAATATATAAATATAGTTTTTATATTTGTTAGAAAGAGCCCTGTGACTTTTCACAACATTGATACCTGATGTGAAGAGTTTGAAAACCACAGGAATAGGATTTCTTCTGGTTCCAGCTCCAGGGACCAATGTGACCCCCTGTGGCCCCCTGTTGCCCTGTGACCCCCTGTGGCCCCCTGTTGCCACTGTGACCCCTGTAGCCCCTGTAGCCCCTGTGACCCCCGTGGCCCCTGTGCAGTGTGATGGGAACTCACAGATGAGCAGGAGATGGCCTTGATCTGCTCCAGAGCTTGAGACAGACAGTCCTCGATGTCCACATCGTCCAAAGAGAAGAGGTCTCCAGCTCTGGACAGGTCTCTCTGGCCCAGCACCAGGCTGAACAGTTGGTGCATGGTCAGCCCCCAGTGCCCCCAGTGGCCTGGTCCTGTCACTGCACCTCGCTGCTGCACAGTTCTGGAACAGACCAAAGACTCATTAGTCCTGCTTTAAAGTTTACACACCCAGAGATGTCTTTGTTTTGGCCATAAATTGGAGATCAGGAATAATAACTCAAACTCTTTTTCCTCATTAACGTTTTTGTCAACGTTTTCTATTTTTGAATGATAACATGATTTAAACCATTTGGGGAAATCTCAAGTATCCAGTTCATGCAAAGTGGCCAGGAATTCACAGAAACTTGAGGCTTTTTGGGCCGCTTTAGCATCAGAGAAGATACAAAACCTTATCCACAACTACCACAAAAGTAGCCTGGCCTTAGCCGTCCGTACACTCCGCTCAATCATCATTTCCTGCATGTAACGTCTGGGTCTGGTCCCTATGTTAGCGATTACAATCGGTTGAATTTCGACCGACCAATCAGCGAGCGCGGATGGAGAGTGTTGTATTTAGTTGTGGTCACGTCAAGAGTTTGCATTGAACGGGCAGGTTGTAGTATAGTAAAGTAATCTGGTCTGGTTCTATCAAGAAATTGAAGCCGGAGCAAGGGTAATGTTTAGCAAATGTACTCGCTAGAAAAAATTGTGGCGCTACTCCCCACGGGCTCTGTTAGCGGCAAAGGAGATGGCTAGGCTAAATGCTAAATGCTAACGACTCACTTGGGCGCATTACAAACGTCACGGTAAACTCAGATCCAATGGTTTCAATCTGCAAAAGGAGTTAACCCCTCCCACTTGTTAACGGAGCTCAATGGAGCAAATATAGACCTTAGTAAGAAATGTCATTTGTACTATGGTGTGGTACGACCAGGCTACCACAAAAGACCCCAAGCTGATCATAGAGGGGAACTCACTGAGAACTGGGGGATGGAAACTTCCGATCAGAAGAGGAGTTTCTGTTGTCATTACCATTTGAAAATAGAAAATACAATCCATTAATGCAAACATAGTAATAAATCTGGATAAACTCGAGACAAAAATGCATTACAAGTGAAACATACAAGTGTGGATTAAAGATGATGGATTAATACATGAGGCAGAACACAATACCAAATAGAAAGAGAAAAAGCTTTTGGTTTTAATGTGTATATATATTTCTATAATTGTATGTGTTTTTATAGTGCTGTTTTTTACTGTCTGTCCAGCACTTTGGTAAGCCTAAGCTGTTTTCAATGTGCTCTACTGATAGAGTTGATTGATTGATTCGGATATATACAGTATTTTAGCACTTATTGTTCCATGCAATTTAAAAGAAATGACATATTGACTATACATTTTTTTCCCAATAGTGTGGACGTTATTGTTAATTAATTTTTAATACAGTAATTTAATATGGCGCATCACTTTTGTGGTCCATTATGGCTGACTGTCTTTGATTTTTATCTTTTGTTGCCATCTTATAACTCCAATTAAAATGTCTTATTGTGTCAGGGCTCTTCTGGTCTAGTTTACAATACTTGTGTTTTTCTGCTTTCCATTACGTCAGAAACTAAAGAGCCTTGCTGGTCAGACTGGGGTTCTTCATGATAACTTTTATGTGGAGAAACTTGATTATTCGAGTTACTCCACATTTTATGTTTGTAAATAATGTGTATCTGTGCTGTATTGGTGTACTCTGGTTACCATGACTACCACAGTGTTTACATACAGGCTGAAGGGAGTCCTCGCTCTGTCTTCTGTCAGAGGCCAAAGAACAGGTCATGCTCCTGCAAAGAGACAGCGGAAACACATACAAACTGTCACAAAATTGCTTGATTTTGTCAAAACAACTATTTGGGAAACAATTTTCTTTTTTAAATAAAACATTTGCAGATGTTTTCCCAGATAGTTATAAGATAGTGATCATGTTCTTAAGTCTGAGAGTCCTATGTACTGGCCGACATCAGGCATGTGTCTTTGAATATTGTCTACTCTTCTAGACACCGTTATGAGAAAATAATAAGACCATAGTAGAAATGTACTAACTAAATGTTACCTTGCCATGATTGTTCTGCTAGTGACATGTTTAAGGTTATCTTAATCTAGATTTGAAAAGGAGGCTGAACAGTTAAGTAACCGGTAGATTCCACCCCAAAGAAGCACACAGCGACAGGTTTCAAAGTTAATTTCCAGTTAGTATTTGTTAATTAAACGGTTCAGTTGAAATTTAAAAAATAAATGTACAGATTGGCCACAATGTTACTCTGAGATCTCAGGAAAAAAAGAAAAAAAAGTCAGAGCTGCACCCATTTCACAGAGCTCCAGCCCCTCACAGATCCTCCGGGTAAATCCATGGTTGCTCTGTCAGTGACAACACAACCTTGATCCTTCAGTGGGGGCTTCAGGCAAAGTGGGGTTAAGTGTCTTGCTCAAGGACACAACAACAGCAGACATCAGTGGGAGTCGGTGGAGAAGGTCTTGTGGTGGGCTCGAACCCACAACCCTTCAGGCTAAAATGCCAATGCCAATAGTATTATAACAAAAATGTACATTCATTTTGAAGATAAATTGCATTAATTATACAAAAATTGGCAAACTCTAAATTACAGTTTGTTAAATAACACCAAATATATGGCCATGAATCACAAATGCACTTATGTGTAATTGTAGTAGAGTGTAGACATAGTTCACTGTCATGTTCGATGGATTTTCACATTGAAGGCATTTCACAAATAAAACTAATAAATCTGCTCTTTCAGAAGTCAATTTTAACAATGCAACATTACCCCAACTGGTTTTTTTCATCAGCAAAGTTTAAAAATACATTTGAAGTTGTGTCTGGAGATTTTATCAGCAACACATTATACTAATACAACAGAAAATGTTTTTATATCCAAGCTCCAACTGCTTCAAACATTCACAGCTAGTCCTGCACAATATATTCATAAGTGTCTGAGTTAGGATATAAATAACTTTAATCCAAAGTTTACCTCTTGGTTTGTCTCAACAAAAGTGCACAGCTTAAAAAGATGGATGTCAGAGAAAGAGCTAGCTCAGAACCGTGTCAAAGTGCTTCAGTCTGCTGCCACCTTCTGGCAAAAGTCAAGAACTACATCTACATGTGTTTATAGCGTTGTAGGATAAAATGAACAGGATCACATAAATCATTGGTCTTACATAGAGCTTTTATGGACACTCAAACATGCCTCACATGTCATTATTCATTCACTACTGTAGCCACAGCTACCCTGGGACACACTGACAGAAGCAACGCAACCAGTATGTGCCATCAGCCCCTCTGACCACCACCAACCATGCACACACACTCCAGACTCATTCTAGGCAATGTGGGTGAAGTGCCTTGCCTAAGAACACAATGACAGTGTTTGCATTTTACAGCCCCAGCCGCCCCACGTGTTCCCAGAGGTCTCCCATCCCAGTCCTATCCTGGTCCTGACTTGCTTAGCTTCAGAGGTCTGACGGGATTAGTCTTTCACATGCAGGGGACATAAAAAAAATCTAAATTGTTTTTGTTTGATGTGGATTGGACCAGGACCGAGAGCTGAACTAGAGAAGTCTTGACTTTTGACTCTTTGGATTGTTGTGATGTCGCATGAACACAACCTATAACACTGTTAGTAACACAGCAGAGATACTTCATTAGAAAAATCAAGGCTATTATTGTTATTATTATTATTATTATTGTTATGATGATGCAGCAGAGAGTGAGCCACAGTTAAAAGTGTGGGAACAGATCTGGTTTGTTCCTGGTGCGCAGTACTCCTGGTGTTTTATGAATGGAGACAGTGTTTTGCAAATGCTGACGTTAACCATTTACTCACTTTCCCTGTGAACCTTATTTAAACATTAAAACATTAACACGAGAACCGCTGGAGTCAGACGGCAAATTTCACACCAGCACCCACAGAAAAGCTCCTGGTACTGACACCATATGTACTCGGTGACGTCTCATGGTTGTGTCTCCTACAATCAGCCGTTATCTGCGAAGGACTCAGAGTAATGGGAGAAAATCTGCGCTTTCTTCTGTGCCAAGCGGCTGAAAACATTACCAGGACACCAGCGAAGGAATTCTTTTATTTATGAGGCTGAGACCAAAGCCGTAAAAACACAAGGAATGGCCACATACTACACACACGTTTAGATTTACTACACACAACTACACACAACTACATTGTGTGGTCTGTGAACAACTGACTGTGGAGACTCTTTGGATAGACACCGTTATGTCTGGCAACAACATGTTGTTGCCAGAATGGGATATTAAAGCTGGGGGACCCAAATCACAAACATGTCATAAAATCCATTCATTCATTCATTTTCTTGCCCTTTTTAGTCCATTTCTGGGTCGGGGGGGTTGGGGGGGCAATCAGAGCTGGCACCCAATGCTCAATACTGGTTTTAGCCTCTATCGTGTGTAAAAGACTTAAATTTGAAGACAGTAAAGGGAAAAAGAGAGGAGCACCCTAAAATCAGCCTAATTCATTATGGTTAGCCACGCTTCTAAGTTCAAAAAACCATTCGGCATGTTTTGTTTGTTTGCACAATCATATAATCTCTGCCAGGTAACATTTCTTGTGTGCGTACGTGAGTGTGTGTGTGTGTGTGTGTGTGTGCGCATGTGTGTGTGTGCATGTTTATGAGTGTGCGCGTGTTCACATGTGTGTGCACATTCATGTGTGTGTGTATGTGTGTTCATGTGTGTGTCTGTGTGTGTGTGTGTTCATGTGCGTGTGTGTTTGTGTGTGTGTGTTTATGTGTGTCTGTGTGTGTGTGTTCATGTGTGTGTGTTCATGTGCGTGTGTGTTTGTGTGTGTGTGTTTATGTGTGTCTGTGTGTGTGTGTTAATGTGTGTGTGTTCATGTGTGTGTGCGTGTATGTGTGCATGTAAGTGTGTGTGTGTGTGTGTGCATGTATGTGTGTGTGCGTGTATGTGTGCATGTAAGTGTGTGTGTGTGTGTGCGTGCGCGTACACAAGTCACAATGATCCCGAGGAATTTGAGTCTTTAACCTTCTGGTCAGTGTTCCTCGGTCGACCATGGCTCAGTGAGTTCTGGAATGCAGCTGTTATAGATGCACACACACACACACACACACACACACATGCACACACGCACACACACACCACTCCCTCCTCTGACCTGTCGCACTGAGAAACCTGATCTGTTTTATACTAAATCTACTTTTCAAAACTCACCGCTCTCTCTTCTCCTTCACTGCTGATTGTTTTTACTTGTTTGAGTAATGTTTGTCCGGCTGCATTCAAGAGGCCCTCTGACCGCCACACACACACACACACACGTTTTTGTTACCTGGTGGGTCCCTTTGACAGGGCCGTTCAGAATGGGACCCATAGACATAATCTTTTTTACTGGGACTACTTTAAGTAATACAAAACAGTCAATAGAAAACAAACAACTCTTTTAAAGGAATTTTATTTTTGATTTTTTTTTCGAATTGCAGTGATTCTATTTTTGACATAGAATTTAATGCCACTCCATGTCCGATGTCTAAGGTCATCTGGTGAGGCATTAATGCAGGCCAGGCAGTGAGACTTCCCAGGGAATTCTTGATATTATTAAAATATGTATGATTTTTTTCCCCTAAAGGCCACTTGTATTTTTATTTTCTGTGCTACAGGGAGAGCAGTAGAGATCCTCTCACAAACGGACGGGCTAAAAGAAACTTCAAGCGGAGAACCTTCAACCATTCATCCAGATGCACCCCATGGTAGTGGCAGTGCCCCTTCTGGTAAGTGTACCAGGTGGGGGATTACAGCCAGGCTGCTTGGTCCTAACCCTAGGAGTGTATATTGCTAATATATTTTTATTTCTCTCCCTAGAACGTGTAAGAAAGCCATGGTCTGCATCTGAGGTGAAGGCTGTGGAGAAGACCATGATGCCTTTCATACAGACTGGAAAAGTCCCAGGAGCACTACGTCCGCGCACTAACTCCTAAGGACTTCCCTCCCGCTCACTTCCGTCAATAGAAGAAGCGTGACTTGTAGTACGTCTTTAGGAGTTAGCGCGGACGTAGTGCTCCTCGTATAATTACGCCTCACAATATAGTACCTCTTTTTATCCGCTGAGAAAATCGACATGTTACATTTCTGTGTACTGCAGCGACCACTGCTTCTGACGTAAGCCTTAGTGGCATCAGGATGGGTAAAATGCAGAGGACAAATTTCCCTACGGGGACAATAAAGTCCTTTTAACGGTTCGGTTCTGTCTCTATTTTGCACATGAATGTATTTTAGAATTTAAGAATGTACTCATTTTAACACAGAAAAGTGAGAAAGGAGAGGACCACCCTCCCTCAGCCAATCAGCTTAACCGTTTAGTATTCACTCCTTGAAGAAAGCAATGTAAAAAATTCTTTTTTGGATTGTCTACGATGTAGGACACTCATAACAAACATAATTACTTTTTTACCCTAGTATTTTTGTTCTTCAATGTCCTTCACCAAACAGTTAAGATAGTTTTATGCAAAAATGCCTAAAACCAAGGGAGCAGATATAATTGGGGTGGGAACCTCAGGGTACCTCACGACGTGCGATACAAAGCTCACAATAACGATTATCTCACGATATGACGATGCAGCGATTATCGATATATCGGTCAAAAATACACAATAACTACAATAATATTTTCCTTATATTTATGGCATAAATTAAGTGAACAAATATACTTTATTTCAAGATAAATGGATAAAGTGTCATGTGTAACATTAAAGTGAACAGGCAAAAATGCCTTTTAACCTGTACATTTTA